TCTCATGTCCCAGACTGCCAGTGCTACGTGCTCAGAGGATTTTTTTCTGCACTTTGTGTTCCAGAAATGTGCAGTAGGAAACATTTTATTAGCAGGATTTCCTCTGATAAGAAATGAACTTCCTCTTTCTGCAGTCACAGGAATTGTTTTCTACAGTTATGGCCACAGACTGTTCATAATGCAGAGTTAGTGTATTGGTTTATTTAAAAGGCAATAAGCAGAAAAATGCAATGCTCACAAGTTAGGACAGAAAATAAAAGGAGGTAAGAGGGTCAAAATGCTTGGGTCAGGGTGAGGCCAGAAGGTTGGCAGATGGGGAAATGGTGTACTAACATAGTGAGTAAGCACTGTAAAAACATCAGTTTTTGGAGAATGTGAATAGCCCCGATTTAGTGCTTCTGCAGCTGTGCCAGCTGGTTAGTATCTCTGGCTGGTGGGCATCCCCAAAACCATGAGCTGAGACAAAGAAGAACACTAAAGAGATCATTATGCAGCAGAAGACTATCAGGAATCCCACTGCACCTTCACCTTCAGCAGCCAGCACAAGTAGCACCCATTGTAGAGGATCTGCATAGGACCAAGAATATTCCTCTTCTGTCCTAGGACAGGAGAGCTGGTGTGTTATGGAGAGCACATTTCTGGAAGCTGGTGTGGAGCCTTCTTCTCTCTGATTTAGGCTTTCAGGTGGTACAAAAGTCTGTGGCCATGTCAGGACTGCCATTTATCCAAAGTGATTGTACAATAGACAAAAACATCTTAACTATCAAGATCCCAAGAAGATCTGAGTTATTACTTTAGGGATAATAGGTACAGATCCAGCGCCTGGGCAAAGAGCAAGCCGATGTAGAGACAGTGAAGGAGTGCAAGTAGGCACACTCAGAATGATTCTGTATCTGAAACCTGAAAAAATACAGGAAGGAAAAAGATTAATAAATAATTTGTTCTACTACAGAGCCAAATGTTTCAGCCTGCTGTAAAACAAACTTCCACTGAAGTAGTTTCCAGTTGACTTTTGTCCCCTGGGACATGCTAGTTTCAGCTGCTCAAAATAAGGTGAGCAACAAATCTTGTTAGAAAAGCCCATTCAGCTCATGCACTGCTGCATAAATCCCCATTTTTGTGAACAGACACCACACGGTAACAGGAGGAAAAACAAAAGACAGCTTATGATATCCACAGCCTATAATTACTGATGCCAAAAATGTTCAGGAGAAAAGGGTAGGGGGGAGCTTGTTAGGCCTGATGCAGAGCTGTTTTATCCCTCACATTTTCTAATATAAACAGTGGCAGAATCTGGGATGTCTGCAGCTTATGACAAATTCACAAAAGCCGTCTGATTTTCTTATGAAGATGCTTAATCCATCTGAAGATGATCTGAAGAACTTGAACTTCTGAACTTGACTAGAACTTGAACTTGACTAGGGATGAAAAAATGTCAAGAAGTTTTTCTTCAAGTACATAGTACAAAATCCCCAGATCTCTTTCCATATGGCTGATCTCCAGCCTATTGTCCCCCAGTCTGTAAATATAGCCAGCATTTCCTCTTCCCAAGTGTGGAGTCTGGCACTTGATAAACTTCATAGAGATGACGATTGCCCAGCTCTCTAATTTGTCAGAATCTCTCTGCAAGGCCTTTCTACCCTCAACACAGACAACAGCTCCTCCCAATTTAGTGTCATCCGCAAACTTACTTAATACAACTTTAAGTCCTGTATCGAAGTCATTTATGAAAACATTAAAGAGAACTGGCCCTGAAATGGAGCTCTGAAGAATCCCACTGGAGACTGGACACCAGCCTGAAATAACCTCATTTACTGTAATACTTTGAGCTTAACCCAACAGCCAATTGTTCACCCATCATATTATGTTTTTATTTAGATGTATCTTGGATATTTGGTTCAGAAGGATACTGTAAGTCATATTTTTAAATGCCCTTTAAAAGAGCCCCCACAATACTGGCCAACTTCATCCCTAATTGAGGCCACACAAATTTTCTCCCTACAATGGTGAACGGCATCTCTATGGTCCTCCCATATCACCCAAGCTCACTTCCAGTGGACACACACTTTCTTTTTCTGCCAAAGGTCTACAAGACTCTGCTCAGCCAAGCCAACCTTCTGTCCTGCTTGCTTGACTTCCAACATTTTGGAATTTCCTGTTCCTGTGCTCATAAGAGGTGGTTCTTAAAACTGAGTAGCACTGATGGGCACCAATGTCTTCAGAAAAATGTCTTCCAAAAAAAAAGATCCTGGGGGACTTTGCTCATCAGTTCCCTGAGCAGCTCCATACGGATATCTGCTTGCTTTCCCCATATACAGGGTTGAAGTTCTGGTGGCAGTTCTCCTCCTCTCACCGAAAATTTTACATTTGATTCCTTATTTCACAGTCACTATGGCCAAAATGCCCACCAATCTCCACTTCACCCATGAGATCCTCTCTATTCACAAGTAATAGATCTAGGAGGGCACCTTTCCTAGCTGGTTCCTCTAGTACCTGTACCTAGAATTAGTACCTCCCTTAGTACTTGTAATTTCCATGGTCTTCTTTCTTGCCTTTCTTAAAAACTGAAAAAATATTTGCCAGCTTCCTGTCAACTGGGACCTCCCTATGATATCCTTATCCCTAAATTGGAGGGACATGGATTTGAGGGATGGACCACTTGGTGGGGAAGGAATTGATTGGATGGTTGCACTCAAAGAGTTGTGGTCACTTACTGAATGTTCAGGTGGAGGCAAGTGATGAGTGGTATATCTCAGGGCAGGTATTGGGACTGGTATTAATTAACATCTTTGTTGGTGACATGGACTGTGGGATTGAGTGCACCCTCAGCAAGTTTGCCAGTGACACGAAGCTGTGTGGTGCAGTTGACATGCTGTAGGGAAGTGATGCCATTGAGAGGGACCCAGAGTGGTGGGCACATGCAAACCTATGAAGTTCAAAAAAGCCAAGCACAAGGTCCTGCCTCTGGTCTGGGGCAATCCTAAGCACAAATACAGGCTGGATGGGGAATGGATTGAGAACAGCTCTGAGGAGAAGGGCCTGGAGGTGTTGGTGGTTAAAAACTCAACATGAGTTGGCAATGTGCGTTTGCAGTGCAGAAAGCCAACAGTATCCAGGGCTGTATCAAAAGAAGTGTGGCCAGCAGGTTGAGGGAGGTGATTCTCCCCCTATATTCTGCTCTCATGAACCCCCACTTGGTGTACTCCATTTAGCTCTGGGCCCCCCCACACGAGAAAGACATAGACCTGTTGGATAGGGTCCAGAGGAGAGCAACGAAGATGATCAGAGGGCTGGAGCGCTCCCCCTATGAAGACAGGCTGAGAGAGATGGAGTTGTTCAGCCTGCAGAAGAGAAGACTCCAGGGAAACTTTATAGTGGCCTTCCATTATCTAAAGGAAGTCTACAGAAAAGATGGTGAGGGACTCAGTATTGAGGGACTCAATACTGATAGAACAAGGCGTAATGGCTTTAAACTAAAAAACGGTAGATTTAGATTAGATATTAGGAAGAAACTCTTTCCTATGACGGTGGTGAAGAACCGGAACAGGTTGCCCATAGAAGCAGTGGATGCCCCCTGTTAAGTGTTCAAGGCCAGGTTGGATGGGGTTTTGAGCAGACTGGTCTAGTGGGAGGTGTTCTTGCCCATGGCAGGGGAGTTGGAAGTAAATGATCTTTAAGGTCCCTTCCAAACCAAACCATTCTATGATTCTATGATTCCTTCCTACCTGTCACTTCATTCTCTCTGATTCCTAAAAAAAAAAAATAATGTGAGTGTAACAGGTGACCTGCTAAAACTACCGATATACAGACAATATATCTGAAGAAATCATACTGGGACCTGTACTGAATAAGAAAACCTTGACAGTGGTGATGATGGGTCTGGCCAAAGTCCCATCTCCCCTAAAATTTGGATTCCAACAATAGACAGAACAGTCTAGGCAAAAATAGAAGAACAGGTTAAACTGTTTACTGATGGCACTGAATAATGTCAATAATCTTGACAGGTATAAATTGAAAGTGAAAAAGTGACTCCCAGGAGAAATTCCAATCACAAGTATTTTTCTTCAAAATTCCTAAGAAAGGCAAGGTGCTAGGGAGGGTGGAAGTTTAGAAAAAGATGTCTGTGAGTTCATGGCACCTCCACCACTGTTTAAAAATACTCTCTGAAAAATGACAGCAATGTAAAGGAAATGAGAAACTGAGGGAAATAAATAACAACTAGTCTATGAAATATTTTTAGAACTGCACCAATAGAATTGGTCATAGGTTGGAATACTGCTGAGAAAGAAGGAAATGGTGATTGCAAATGAAACATCTTTAGAACACATCATGACAGATCATGCTTTGGTATGATGCAACAAAAAGTTATTTTAAATTATTTATAGATGGAAAAAATCTTGGCAGAGGTCTAAAAGAGAGCAAAGAGGCAAAGAGAGGGCTGCAGGAGACCTACAACAGCAAAAATTGTATCTGACAGAAGTTCAAGACAGTTGAAATAGATCCATTCAGACACAGGTTTAATTGCTATCTCCTGATAGCTAACAAAAATGAATGCCTCAACTACAACTACATAAGACAACACCATCATAAGCCATACTGAAACAGCTTTTGCTAGATATTGTGCATTTCAGGAAGATGAGAACAAAGGATCACACTAGAAACCAAGAACTTTAAAGATCTGGAAGCTGAAATGTCTACACTAGGTACTGAAAAACATATAGACATTAAAGTAAGTAGGGATGATCAATAACATCTTACTGTGCTGAGCTAACAAAACATCTTTTTTGAATCAGACTTCTCTCCATTCATTGGCACTTTTGGATTTAGATCAGTAATAACTGCAAAGAGTTTCTTTTCAAAGTCATGGTTGTAAGTCCCATCGGAAAAAAAAATGCTGACAGAAATTATATTGTGCTACAAACCCCAGTTCTTTATTTGCTTAAGCACTTGATGGTATTCTCAGTATGTTGGTATGTGTTATTCAATGACAAGGAACTTACAAGTTCATGTTCAAAGCAGTGCCGTTCTCCCAGTAGAAACGTTCACCTTTCTTGCACAATCCAATCCAAGATTCATCTATTTTCAATAGCTTAACTAAAGAATACTGAAAAAAAAAAAAAGTATTTTATCAAAATGAGTTCTCACAACAAGAAGCAAATCCCTCCTGTGACTTCAGCGGATGACTAGTTCATCTTTCTGTCATCTAGAAGGTTTTCATTAAGTATTTCATTGACAGTTATGAATTTACTCTTTTTTTCTTGGCCCTAATTAAGCCTATGAATTGATTGTTTTAGTATCATAACCTTCAGTTAAACTATTCAATTCTATACCCCTAAGGGTTATTACCATTCACTGCACCCAAAAATACCTAAACACCAAGTATTGTTTATATACATGTATGCCTATATGTGTTTATCAATCTCCACATATGCAGCTTGGTATAAATGGGATGGAACAAACAGGTATGTTTAAACTGCAGTTCAAATGGGCATATGGGAGCTCCTCCCCTTCACAGTTCTTATTTAAAGCCTTGTGGGTATCTAGATAAAAAGAGTAAAAGACAGTTCACTATCTCATAAGTTTATAACAACCTATATCAAACACAGCAAAGGCTGATGGAAAACAGCAGAAGCAGTACTTGCAATAGGTTAATACTATAGAACTCCCTGCAACAAGCTGTCATTCGACTCAGTGAAATTAGAAATTATATGCATATTAACTGTCAGCATGGACTTAATAATTGACATGAAAATAATGTAGCCTTCTACTTCTCTACTCTTCCCTAGCAATTTCAGATCAATACTGTTCAGAAGAAACTGTCTTGATACGGTTCCAATGACATTTCTGCAGTTGTTGATGGACCTTCTTCTGGTGTGGCTAACGCTACCCAGTGATGGAGACCAGACACCTCATGACACAGAGCATGAGGCTGACCCAGTAGGCCCATGTCAGTGTACCTGTGCTTCACTTTTATAAGGTGTGTTCATAGTTTGTACGTATGAGGTTTTTAAGCAGTAGCTTAAATAACACCAGTTTCTACCTAGCCAATTATCAGCTGAACATCGCAAGCACTGAATTAAAAGTGGGACTTTCAGATAAGTAAGGAAGAGAAGCATTAACAAATCAGTCAAGTGATGTCCCACTCACAGAGCAACAATGCAGAAGGGGCTTGGAGAGGGGACAAGTTGGCAAATATGTTGACAAAGAAAGGAGTCTGATTATAGGATAAAATCAGAGACCACATCCAGCAAGGGACTCATACTGAAGTGAGAATTATGTTCTGCATCTTTGTCATTGTTGAAATACTTGTCACTGTGAAAATACTTATTAGCTCAAGACAAATTTAGATATGATTAAACCATGTAATTTCACTGAGGTTTCCTCTATTTCAAGAGCTGCTACACCACCAACATGTAGCAGCCAGCCAGAAAAGCAGACTTTTGACCTCTGTTTAAAAATCACAGTAACAAAGCTCAAATGTCAACTTATTTAAAAACTATCTTTCTGATGAAACTACTTTCTCATTGACATTACTCAATAGGCAGCAAGTCTGTAAAAGCAAATTGCAGTTTTAGTAACATGCAGTAAGTAGCAAGATGTCACTAACATTCAACTCAATGCAACTGGACCATAATATAGGCAAATTAAAGTGTCTTAACAAAATTATTAGAATGAGAAATGTCCAAACCAGCTTCCGTGGAAGTATATTCCCACCATTGATATAAGCATGAATCTCTAAGAGGCATTAAGGGATATCTAAAACCAGATACAAGTAGATAAAATGGATGATTTTCCATTATGCTGGTTTCAAAGGTTTGGTTTCTTTTAGAAAACAAAGGATATATTCATTTGTCTATACTGAGAGTTCAATAGATTCATACTTGCTTTGAAGATGAACATACATAGGTCAGAAAAGGAAAACTATGTAAACTATTTGATTCATTAAAAAAGAGCTTTTCAAAGTCCTTCAAGTCAAATCCAGGCACAAACGCAGTATGGGAAAGCTTTTAGTGCTGTTGCATCTGCTACCGTGAGACAGTTACTTAAATTGATCAAATAGGTACTTTTCACTATCTGAATTCACACAGCCTGTTTATTTTACAAAGATTTACAAGATAAGAAAAAGAGAGCTATGTAGATAACAGTCAAGAAAAGAGAGAGATACAGAAGTTGTATTAGTTTGTTTTATGTTCCATTACCATTTCATCCTTATTTTCAAAAACGGCAAGCAAAGACTCATTCTTAATGCAGAAGGCCTGACTAGATGTCCAGTTTTTTTCCTCTTCTGATATGAAGTAACATTTCTTTCTGTAACCTATCCACTCACTGGGACACTGCTCAGAATGAAGGTTCCCACGCTGACATATCTGAAGCACTAGAACTACAAAGGAAAAGGGAGAACAAAATTTCTACCTGGTAAAATCATAGCATTCATCAGCATAACAACCTAAAGTGCAGATTTTTTGAAAGCCAATGCCACACCAGATGCCAGAAGAGAAGCCAAAAGAAGGTCAATGGTCCTGACCTTCCATGACTTTCAGAAAATATCTTCAGCTGAGAAATGTGTGAGTTGAGGACAGCAGCCTGATTACTAAAATTAATATAAAATAAATAGGTCTGGAAAACATGTGTTTTAGAGAATTAGAGGCATTGACACATTTTTTAATCCAGTAATAGGGTAATAAACATAATATTATATGAATTTATCGATAATATTTACTTCAAGTAATGAAGTTGCTTCAATATCAAGACAATTTGCTTTGATTTTGTATCAAACCTTTTAAGTGTTTGAGAAACATGTGTGAAGGTAAGTAAATTAGATATTGATATGATGAGAATGAAATCTGTTAATGAAGAGGTAAAATTATCATTATTTGGAGATAATGGTCTGGAGAATGGTTGTTGAAAGTTATTCCCCAGCATGTTTTGATGTCCCCCTTCATCTTCTTTCTGTCACAGTAGCTCTATGAGGGTGAGAAGACTCACTGGTATATTTTGCTTTAGCACTTACTTTAATTTCTTGTGTTAAAGAGAATTCATGTGCATTTACTTCAGTTACTGAAAAGTTACAGTGACCTTTTGGGTGCAGCATTTTGTCTTTTTTAACAATTGCAGGTTCAACCTGCGTACAAAGTATATTTCCTGGGTTATTCTGCTGGGATTGAATCCAGACCTTCCTCACCCAAAGCACATTTATCCACTGTTTGTGCTTGGTGATGGCTATCCTTGAAGTGACAGTAACTGACCGTTATATGAGTATGGCAGCTTGCAGAAGGAGAACTGATTTCCCAAACTCTGCTGCCTGCTGTTGCCACACTTTGGTCTCTTTTTTCCTTTCCAGTCAGCTATTCCATTCACAATAACTGCAGGCCCTTTAGCAAGTTCCACTGAGCACTGCCCTCCATGCCTTCAAAAAACTGTGACTATTTCTATTGAAATAAAAGTCTAATAAAGGAAAGGAAAATTAACAGAGACAGATGTGACTATTGTCTTCCATTTGTTTCCATGCATGTGCAGAGGACATCAATAAAATATCACATGTTGTTACAAGGGGCAGAGAGAAGGCAGATTTAATCTAGGGGTTCAAGAGCTCCCTCTGCAGACTTGAGCAGCACAGCCTCCATTGAGACTCATGCATCCAGTGACTTGGGTACCTCAAATAATAAAGCAGGCAGCACAGCCTGTACTCCTATTGATGAGCTCTGCATCGGACAGCAGATGCACATCTCACTTCCCTTGTGGCAGTGCCAGGTAAGGCTGACTTTTTCTTAAAAATACAGCATGCAACACAAACTGGTTTAAAAAAAAAAAAAAAGGCAGAATGACACATAAAGACCATTTGTAAGAAAGATAATCTAGCTGTATGATGTAGTTGTCTTCCAGATGTGATAATAAAAAAGCAATCAAAACCAGATATAGGAGCAGACAACAAGCTTGGAGTCTGTGCCTGGAGATGTGATGCTGAGAGAACACCAGCTGGTATAATCAGAAAGGTTACTGGTGTAAGCATCAACAGGACATCCATATGCCACATGAATGGCCAGGCAAGAGACTATGCTCTGAAGAGTAGCAAAGACTCAACAAACAAAAAAAGAAAAAAAAGCAATTTTACAGCTAAATCATCTGAATTTTATTCGTAGGGAAAATTCTCCCTCATTTTAAACGCTGCCTGGATGTTATTCAACCTTATACCAACATCAAAACTGAAATAGTGGCAGAAGTCCCAGGTGTTGTGACTCTGCAAGCAGTACCATGTTGATCTGTTTGATTGCTGTGATCCTGAAGCCCAGTAGTCAGAGGAAACATATCTCAAATGGAAAATCTTTCAAAGGCTTACCAACAAATAAAATGATCATCACCAGCAGAAATGCTGTACGTAGAAAGTTGCCTGTGAAAAAGAAGATCATTAATGGTGTTGTATATATGAGCACTTAGGATCAGACTGTAGTTGTGTATAAATGAAACAGCAGCAGAATAGCATTTAAGTTAAAGTTTAATAATGTAAATACAAAGCACTACTGAAGTCAAAAAAGGTAGTCTGAATTGATATGATTCTATGATATTTACGTAACTTGACAGCTTAACAAAATGGCAATCATTGTCTAATTGGCATTGTTTTGAACCATAAATATACAAAAGTTTTCAATAGATGTACAAATTGCAGTGTAGCAAATTTAAACCTTCCAGTCTCCTTCACCGTGTTTTAGAGACCTCTTAGTGCTAACCTCTGAAGTCTGAAAATCTGTAGGTCAACACTGACCAGTCAAACTACATGCAAGTTTGAGAATGCACACGGGAGAATGTTCTCACACAATTCAACCATTGAAGGACGAGGTTCGGATTCAGCATATGGCTGCAACCCTGAATCAGACCTATTTTCCCTTTTGTGAGAAACAAAATTTTGTTTTTGCAGTAGAACGTGTTTTTGCAGTGGGAAATCCCACTAACCTTGCATATTCAAAAGTGGTTGTGCAGGCATAACAGTGGGATAATGGTGGAGAGTAAGTTAAGCAGGTAAGGGGAAGGTCCCACTGTCCCAAAGTAAGGATAGCTAAGAAGAACAAGATGAGCAGTGCAAAATCAAAAAAAAAAAAAAAAAAAAAAATCACAGGCTTTCTAGTCAGAAAAGAAGAAGAAGAAAAAAAAAGGAAAAGGAGAAATTAAAGGTTGGTCAAATGTAATTGCAAAAAATGGTATAGTAATAAGTGTCAAGTAGTTTGTGAACCTGTAGCACTCAGCCAATGAGGAAATGGGAGGAATCAAGCGTCGGGTTATAGGGAATACTTAATACTCTTCCACTGTGCGCTCCTCCTTGCAGGATGCCTGCCATTGCAATCACGAACAAAAATGCTGCTTCACTGAGATCCTCTCCTGAGCCTGTGTTATTGACAGTAGATTGTTTCTTACACTTTGCCACAAGCTCTTCTTTCACAGACATATTTCAACGCAGGTGAAAGGCAGGTGTTCATCTGTTGCAAAGGCACAGACTATTTTCTCTATTGAGGTTTGCCTTCACTTCCTACATATTAACCAACAGTATATCATACAGATAAGCTATCATATGGTAAAATGCTTGTTTTAACACATACACATATACACACACACAAAAACAAAACAAACACACACACACAAAAAAAAAAAAAAAAAAAAAAAAATCACTTGGAGTAAAGACAAATAGGTATCTTAAATTGCGTATCTACAGCTTTGCCCCAAATTAAATTATCATCTCTTTATCTTGTCCAAGCCAAGCGACCCGGATTTCAAGCTAGACTTCAGACACCCTGCAGGAAGATGTCTTAAATAACAACATAAAAATCTTACATTTTGTGCAGCACTTTCTTCTCTGCGAACAAACCACTGACTCTTGTTCGACAACCTGTGAGGTGTTTGAAGGGCACATTGCATATAATACATGGAGTCTATGTCCTCAGCAATTGCTTCGTCAGTCTCTGCTCATCTTCAAGTCCCATCTACAGCTGGGAAAATAGCAAAGAAGCAATACTACGTTTATTCTAGGCTGCAAGACACCTGCAGATGAACTGCCAGGCTGTCCCGGGCCTTTTGCTGCTTCTTCCCTTCTTTTGCCCTTCCCCAACCTGCTTTAGGTGAACGCTCGGAATGCTGCTGAGGAGAGCTAACGGAAGGAAGCGCTCCAAGGAAGGAAAGCAATCAAGCCCATCGGAAGAGGGGGAGCCAGCACCGCGTCAGAAACTGAAAGGGGCTGCTCCAGCTACCGGCCCCTGCTTCACCTCTCCTGCTGGAGCACGGCGACGAGCGGCGGCGGCGGCGGCTCTTCCCAGACACTCGTCGTCCTTGCTTCCTACTCGCCCGGTGCCGGGAGAAGCATCCCCACGGCCACCCGGGTGCAGATGTGCCTGGAGACGGGACAGCCGACACGAGGAGCGTCGTGGGGTGAGACAGGGGAGGGGCCGGTGGCAGCCGTGCCCAGAGTCTGGAACAGACTTGTCTCTCTTCTGAGACCTCTCTTCTCTCTTCCCATGGGGAGTAAGCGCACGGGGAATGGTTTTCTGAAAGCATCTCTCTGGGATTTGGCGGCTTAATGCTTTTGGAAACCCGGTCTATAGTTAGAGGGGCTGAAGATGGGTAATATGCAGTCGTTCCAGTGGTGGTTGCAGGTGTTTGGTACTTTGAAAATCGTAATGAGCTTGAGTTCTTTGCATGTGTCCTGGTCTTTGACATGCATTGATTGATTTATTTATTTATTTATTTTCTCCTTAGGTGTGTGTTCTCATCTTTCTTTCTGGAAAAGAGTTGCTGGAATTGTCTTCTGTCTTGTTGTGATTTTCATCTTAATAGGGGTTATCTTATGTGAGTGCATTTATTAAAAAAACTAGCCTGGGAAAGAGAGATTCAGTATTTCTGCCTTTCATTTTGCTGTTTGTGCATTGCTGGTGGGTAAGAGGCATTTCCATTGGCATTCACTCCTCCCACTCACCATGGCTGCAGGAAAAGAAGGATTATCTGAAAAAAGAAACTAAATTGTTGCCTAGGTTGTCCATAATTGTTTCCTCTGGCATTGAACTGACTTTATTATTTAACATTCTGCAAGGTTTTATCAACTGCAGCTTAGCAAAATGCTGAGGAATGGCACTAGAGCCATAAGCAGAGTTAATAAGGCAATACTTGAATGCTTGATTTGACTTGTTTCTGACATGGAGAGGTGTTTTTGTTTGGTTGGTTGGTTTTTGTTGTTTTGTTTTGTTTTGTTTGTGATGAAGTGCCTTAAACCAGAACCTGTTTAAGTATAAATTTTGGCTGCTTCATGATAGATGTCGTATCTGCAGAGACAGTCTCTCTGTTCTATCCTGATGGTCTTATATATTGTGTCTCCAGTGCCAAGGGAGCACCTGCACATGCAGGATTCCATTGCTGACACATGCCTAGCCAATCAGGCATTCCTGAAAATACCACAGCTGATAGAACTGGAAGAACTAACACAGAACACTATAATTTTATTGTTTGCCTATGTCTTTCTTGATTCAGTGCAAGTCTCAGAGATTTTTAAGTTGGAGGACATGGGTCCAGAATTTGCAAATGTGTATACAACTCTATTTTTAAAAATGTAATGCTAAGCAAGTCATGTTCTCTTTATTTGAACAAAAGATTCACCTGCATTACTAGACCTGGAGCCATGCCCTGATGACTGGCTGTATTACAAGAGGAAATGTTACTATCATTCAGGATCTGTGGCAGACTGGAATTCTAGTCAGAAGTTCTGCTCTGACTTTGGAGCTTCCCTTGCAGTAATTGACCACCCCCAAGATCTGGTAAGGTTTCTGGTGGCTTGAGTTTACTGTTATGTCTGCTGCTGGAACGGTTTCTGTAACTCCGTCACTTGTTTCCTTGTATATCTGGAATTTGATAGAGACACAGTTTAGCTGGCATTCAAGGAATTGCAGTGACATAACAGTCAAGACAGTGCTGAGTCAGGCATTCTATGACACAGTGTATATATGCACAGTTTTTTTATAAAAAGCTATGAAATCATAATCATTTCTTAAAAATATAATCACACCCATACGTTCTTTTATTCTGTGTTTTGCCTAGGAATTTATAGTATATCGAATGCGCACTATAGACTTCTGGATTGGACTACAAAAGACAGAAAATAAATTCTTCTGGGTGAATGGAGAGTCACTTAACACAAACCTGTGAGCTTTCTTTCAAATACGCTATGCAAGAGGAGAATCCATAGCTTTTTTGTCCATGTGGAAAAGTTATTCTGTATTAGCTATTCCACTGTAGCTAAACTGCCACGTTTTCTCAAACGAGGGTTGTCATATGACTATAGAAGTGCCAATGCTGATCTAGTTTTGTCCCAGTAGAAGTGGAGAAGGGGCAAAGAATAAGCTGGAACTGTCATAGAGTCCCTTTATTCTTGTGCATTTGAATCCACACTCGAAGAAATGAGTAGTGTATAAAATGTGTATCACTGTGGGGAATATCTGTCCCTATACAAACTCCATGCTCAGATGGGAATTCTGCCAATATCTGTCGGAAAAAATAAAGCTGTCTTGCCAGGGAGTGATCTGTGCCTTTTATGTCCACATCATACTGTAAATTGTGAAGTACAAGCACACATGGTATGTCCCTGTGGAGATCAAAGCAACTTACATTAATAGAAGGCTCATCAGAGCATTACCACGGACAATGCATTTAGAATTCTTATCATCCCCATAAGAAAGAGATTCATTTTAAATTATTCTCTCTTTTTTTTTTTTTTGGGGGGTGTGTTTGTTGTTTTGTTTGTTTGTTTGTTTCTCTCTGCAGTTTGTAGGAGCCAATTTTAGACAGAATAAGAAATAGATCTTGTAAATTTTGGCCAAAGTTCTGCTCTAATTCTTGTATTTCTCTTGGCTTTTTAGGTTTCATGTCAATATATCAGATGATGGAGATTGTGTCCACATAAATTCAGCATTTGTCTCTACCAAAAAGTGCTCTTCACAGAGGAACTGGCTTTGCACCCTTGGTCAGTTTGATCCAAAGACAATCTCTTAATAGGGAACAGCTGGCTGTGCAAATACAGAGACTCAGCAGGTTGCTGAGGTAGGCTCCAGAAGGGCCTTGAATATCTCCAGAGGAGACTCCACAACCTCCCTGGGCAGCCTGTTCCAGTGCTCTGTCACCCTCACCGTGAAGAAGTTCTTTCACATGGTGGTGCAGAACTTCCTGTGCTCTGTCTTGTAACCATTACTCCTTGTCCTGTCCCCGCAAACCACTGAAAAGAGGTTGGCCAAATCCCTCTGTCTCCCACACCTCTGGTATTTATACACACTGATGAGATCCCCTCTCAGTCTGCTTTTCTCCAGGATGAACAGACCCAGGTGTCTCAGCCTTTCCTCATAGGAAGATGCTCCAGACCCCGTGTCATCTTTGTGGCCCTCCGCTGGACTCTTTCCAGGAGATCCCTGTCTTTTTTGTACCGGGGAGCCCAGAACTGGACAGAGTACTCCAGGTGAGGCCTGACCAGGGCAGAGTAGAGGGGGAGGATCACTTCCCTTGACCTGCTGGCCAAGCTCCTTTTAATGCACGGCAGGATCCCATTGGCCTTCTTGGCCACCAGGGCACACTGCTGGCTCATGGTCGACCTGTCGTCCACCAGGACCCCCAGGTCCTTCTCCTCAGAGCTCCTCTCCAGCAGGTTGTCCCCCAGCCTGTACTGATACATGCGGTTGTTCCTTCCCAGGTGCAGGACTCTACACTTGTTCTTGTTAAACTTCATTTGGTTTCTTCCTACCCACCTCTCCAGCCTGTCCAAGTCTCACTGAATGGCAGCACAGCCTTCTGGCATCTCAGCCACTCCTCCCAGCTTTGTGTCATCAGCGTTCTTGCTGAAGGCAGACACTATTCCCTCATCAAGGTCGTTGATGAAGATGTTGAACAAGGCCAGACCTAGCACTGACCCCTGGGGAACACCATTAGTCACAGGTCTCCAGCTGGACTCTGTGCCGCCGATCACCACCCTCTGAGCTTGGCCAGTCAGCCAGTTCTCAACCCACCTTACTGTCCACTCCTCTATCCCATACTTTCTCAGCTTAGCTATCAGGATATCATGGGAGACAGTATCAAAAGCTGAAGTCAAGGTAGATGACATCCACTGCTCTCCCCTCATCTACCCAGCTGGTGATGCCACCACAAAAGGCAATGAGGTTGGTCGAGCACGATCTCCCCTTGGTGAGTCCATGCTGACTACTCCTCATAACCTTCTTCTCTTCCAATTGCTTGGAGATGGCATCCAGAACAAGCTGTTCCAACACCTTTCCAGGGACAGAGGTGAGACTGACTGTCCTGTAGTTTCCTGGATCCTCCTTCTTGAAGCAATAAAGTAAACTATAGTGACACTCCAAAATGATGTTATTGGTTAAAAGTTGGCAGGACCAACAAGAAAATGATGATAGAGTGTCTGTTACAAAGAAGAAAAGTTATTTCTTAGGAATGCAGTTTCATGACTAAAACTGCTGAAGGGCATTGCAATGGATATGTTCCTTGAGAACTCTGATGATAAGCTTCAGAACTGCAAGTCATGATTTTTTTTTTTTTGTGCAGCTGAAAACACTGTGGGACAGACATGAATGTCATACTGGAAATGCAACTCATAGTGACCCCAGTGATGTGACTCTTCCTGCTCTTTATGGAGTTCAGTAATTCTTTGACTACAAACTTTCAAATTGTCTGTCCAGAATGTAAGATACCATAAGGTATTTTGATTTCCTTCTTCTTTTTCCATGGGGTGTTCAAATCTGTCCTGGTTTAGGCTAGGATAGAGTTAATTTTCCTCCTAGTAGCTGGTATGGTGTTGTGTTTGGGATTTAGGATGAGAATAATGTTGATATCATGCTTATGTTTTAATTGTTGCAGAGCAGTGCTTACACCAAGCCAAGGACGTTTCAGCTTCTCCCTCTGTCCTGCCAGTGGGCAGGCTGGGGGTGCAGCAAGAGCTGGGAGGGGACAGACCCAGGACAGCTGACCCCAACTGGCCAAAGGGGTATTCCATACCATCTGACGTCATGCTGAACAATTAATATAGGGGGGCTGGCAGAGGTGGGGGGACCAGCTGGTCAGGGATAGGCTGGGCATCTGTCAGTGAGTGGTGAGCAATTGCAATGTGCATCACTTGTTTCATACTCACCATTATTAGTAGTACTATTATCATAATTATTAGTATTATTATTATTATTCTTTCTTTTCTGTCCTAATAAACTCTTTATCTCAACCCACAGGCTTCATTTTTTTTCTGATTCTCTCCCCCATACCAGAGAGGGAGGGGGGAGGGTGAGCAAACGGTTGTGTGGTGCTTAGCGGCCAGCTGGGTTAAGCTACAACAAAATGTGATTGGTATGTAATGTCCATTGAAGTAAATGGGACCTTGGTAAACCAGGAAGGTAGTTAGTGACTAGTAAAGTTGATTCAAGCTAGGAACATAGCAACAGAGTCATACAAAAAGTGATTTTGCAATTCATTGGAGCAGGTGAATTACTTAATGCAATTCAATTTTAAGTTTTCAAGCAGAGTAACAACCCACAAAAGCAGGCCGTTAAAAAGATACTTGGATAAATATAATTGCTGTGTAACTTTCCTGTATTTATCCACTGTGGTTAAAATTGAAATGGACTGGATGGGTACTTTAGTAATGCAGTTGGCTATAAGTAATACTACTGGTTGTTGTTGCTTTTTTGAAAAAAAAAATGAATCCTAAGAAGAAAAAACTGATATGAAAACCCCCATGAAAATCAGGTAGAGTAAGAAACTTTCTTAGCAGGATTTCCTCTGATAAGAAATGAAATTCCTCTTTCTGCAGTCACAGGAATTGTTTTCTACAGTTATGGCCACAGACTGTTCATAATGCAGAGTTAGTGTATTGGTTTATTTAAAAGGCAATAAGCAGAAAAAATGCAATGCACACAAGTTAGGACAGAAAATAAAAGGAGGTAAGAGGGTCAAAATGCTTGGGTCTGAGGGTGAGGCCAGAAGGTTGGTAGATGGGGAAATGGTGTACTAACACAGTGAGTAAGCACAACCCAGGGAAATTCAACAAAGAGCACAAGGCATTTCTGCAACGAGAGCACCCCTCTGTTGTGGGATTACAGCCTTGGTGGATAGTGAAAGAGCAACTCACATCATCTACCTGGACTTGTGGAAAGCATGACAGTGTCATGCTCCATAAGATGGAACTGCTACACCATCTGCAGTTGATTCAAATTAACATAATTAATACGATTAATATAATTATTATTGAACTTGCTCTGGGTGTTCCCTACAAATTCAGTTCATGTTCAGTGGAATAATCTGGGGTTTGGAGATCAGCCCCTGTTTGAGTCAAAGAGCACATTCACCTTTTAATATATGTATTTTTTCCTTCCCTGAAAGAGTATTTGCTCTGTGCAAAACTCCCTCCCACTACTGGAAAGGAAGCATGATATTTCCTGAACACAAAGTTCAGGAAAAAAGTCCTCTGAGCATGCAACACTGTCCGTTTGGGACATGAGAACTTCAACAGTCTGCTGGTATCTAATATCCAACCTAAACCTCCCTCAGTGCAACTTGAGGCCATTTCTCCATGGCCTCAATTGCTGGTGAAGACAGGCAAAAAAGTCATTGAATACCTCAGCCTTCTCCATATCCCATGTGAAAATGTGTCCCTCTTCTTTCCCGAGAGGGCCCACAGTTTTTCTGTCTTTCCTTTTATAATTGACATACCAGAGAAGCCTTTCTTGTTGACCTTGATGTCCCTGACCAATCTTAATACAAATAGGACTTTAGCTTTCCTAACCTTATCCCTGGCTGCTCAGACAATTTCCCTGTATTCTTAGCAGGCTATCTGTCCTTTCTTCCACTCTGTAGGCCTCCTTTTTCTGATTGAGTTTGTCATGGATTATCCATGCATACCTCCTGGCATTTTTGCCTAATTTCATCTTTGTTGGGATGCACTGCTCCTGAGTCAGAGGAGGTGATCCTTGAATATTAAACAATTTTCTTGGCCCTTCTTCCCTCCAGGGCTTTGTCCCATGGTATTCTACCAAGCAGATCCCCGAAGATGCCAAAGCCTGCTGCCCTGAAGTCTAGAGTCAGCTCATTCACATAGAGGGCAATGACCCTCCTCACCTCTCCTGCCTGTCCTTTCTGAAGAGCCTGTATCCTTCCATTCCAACACTCCAGTCATGGGAGCCATCCCACCACATCTCTGTCATGCCAATGAGGTCATAGCCCTGCAGGTGTGCATACATCTCTAACTCTTCCTGTTTATTCCCCCTGTTACATGTGTTAGCACAGAGACATTTGAGTTGGGCCCCTGATGAAGCTGCCTTACTGGCTGGAGAGGCTGGAATTTCTTTGTGCTGCTCTTCAGGTGCTCTCCTTCTGACTGTGACCCTTCTCCATGCTCTGGGCATCTATCACTGACACTGGCATCAACTGGGAGGAGTGGGATGGATTGAGGTTCCCCTCCCTCGGCAACACTAGCTTAAAGCCATCTTCACCAGCTTGGCAAGCCTCTGACTGCGGATGCTCTTACCCTTCTCTGACAGGTGGACCCCATCAGCCCCCAGCAGACCAGGTTTCTCAGATTGAGTTCCATGGTCTAAGTAGTCAAACTTCTGTCTGCGACACCAGTCCTATAACCATCTGTTGACTTGTCAGATTCTACTGACTCTTTCAGTCCCCTTCCCTTTGACCAGGAGGACTGATGAAAAAACTACCTGCACTCCTGAGATCCCTACTGCTGCTCCCAGGGCTCTGTAATCCTTCTTCATACTCCTCAGAATTCTCCTGGCTGTATCACTGGTGCCCATGTGAAACAACAGCAGTGGCTGTAATGAGGCTGGGTAGTCTCTGATGTATCATCCAGTACTCGTCATTCACTGTGAAAAGGGAAGGGACCATTGCATTTGGAAACTAGTGACCCTCAATAATCCTTCCATCTGTCTATGGCCACTCAGGCCAATGTCAGGCAATTCAAAGCTGGAGGTGCCATGGGCTGGTGGATACTCTGTCAGCAGTGGATACCCTGGTTGAATTGAAAACTCCTGAATATCCAGCAATTAATCTATGTGGATAAACTTGTAGAAGAGCTGCTCTGCTATTCTAGCTGGTGTTGGTCAGATTAGTATAGGGAGCATAACCCTTCTTCTGTCTCATTACTGTGCTGCCCTGACCATGAACCCATACACGTGGATCCTGACAGTCCCTTCATATGGTTCAACTAACCCTGTGCAGTTGCAGAAAGTTACACAGTATGACTTTGCCTGTCTGAAATCTGGACACTGATGACCAGCTATGGTTTGCATAGCATGTGCTGTGTGTGTCCTTGTCTCCTTTATCAGGAGATGAGGGTAACATAATGGGCTATCTAATACAGAAGGGCAAACTTGCTGTGTCCATTTTAACAGCTGAAGCAGAATAAAAGTATAATTCAGTCAGATGAAGCTGCCTGGCCTCTGTGACTTGGGCTCCTTAAAGAAAAGAAGTCAGAGGAAAGAAAGTGGTTGCTTGGTTGGTTCATTGCCTTTAACTTTCTATGCTCTTTTTTTTTTTTTTTTTCCAGACACCACAGGAAAATAACTGTATTGTCCAGCATTAGAAGAGGAATGAAATTATGTGGAAAGGTGGACTACCTGTCTTTCTCATCAAATTCACTTTTAGTGTTTTCTGGCATTTATGGAATACCTATTGTCCTTGTCTAAGTGCTTCTTTCTAAGCTATTTGAACAGTTCAGTATTTAGCTGATTGAAACAAAAAGACAGAACCCTCTGAAACAATTAGGGGTTGTATTCATTGCACAATTATAATTCATATCTTTTTAGTATCTAAATTTTTATATAACATGTGTTCCAAATTATACAATCAAAAATAAGTTATCCAACCTTGCAAATGATAGTTTAAATAAGCAGAGCAAAGGACGGATCTGAACTCAAAACTTAGGCTCTTTCAAACCTTTATTCAAAATAAGAGAGCACTTTTGAATAAGGTGAAGGATATCAGCAATAAATTGCTTTAAGAATAACACAATAGTAATAAAGCTTTCACTTTGCCTATTTAAAATAAAATTCATTTGTGTAAGGATTCTGTCTGAAGAGACATTGCTTCTAGTGGTGTTTCTCTACATTTCTGATATTTTTAGTGCATTATAAAACCTTTAAAATAAAAGTTGTTTTTTGTTTGTTTGTTTGTTTTTGGTTTCATTTTTTAAACATTATGTATAAAATACTTCATTGTTTTTGGCAGAAGACAGCAAATTACTAATTGCAACCCAGTCTCATGTCCTTGATGTTAGTACCTTTTAAGATATACACTTTGAGACACATACAGATTGCTCTACTGAGATTTACAAAGATCTTCAAATATTTTAGATCACGTCAACACAAGTAGTCTTGCCTGAAGTTTTCTGATAATTACAGAAGGAAGCAGTTTAGCGTCTCTAATCTCTCAAGCAGACTGGAACCCACTCATAAGATACTTCCCAAACCAGGGCTTTACTAAAAATCGACAGGAGTTGGTTAGGCACTAAATGGAGAAAGGTCCACATGCCAACACTTCCCTTGCCTCTGATTATTATAAGAATAATTACTTTTAGCTGAGCATATTGCAATCCAGAATCATACTTAGTCTAAGCCTTTTCAGTAAGTGTATGTGTGATACAAAAGTCAAACTGCAGACAGTTTAATATGTCTGATTTTCCAGCCACATGTTCTTCCATGGCTTAGCTGTGTCAGATGAGGAGAAAAAGGTTTAGCTATTCTTCATATTTTTATTAGTCTGTATGTTTCAGTGAAATCAAATATACAGGTACACATACAAATACTTTTGAATGCAGTCTTAAGAGATGCATTGGTCAGAAGTAATAATAAAAATATTTCCCTATACCCTATATAGGAATACACATAATTCTTATGGGAAATGGTGGCTATTTTTTTATGAAATATCAGGGCCTCCACCCCCTGAAGATGTAGGCTTTATTTCCCAGGAATGCTATCTACTACCTCACAGATGGCGGGAAGGGAAAGGAAGGGAAGGGAAGGGAAGGGAAGGGAAGGGAAGGGAAGGGAAGGGAAGGGAAGGAAGGGAAGGGAAGGGAAGGGAAGGAAGGAGGAAGGGAAGGTAAGGGGGAAGTCTTGGAAGGAGGGAGGGGAGGCCTTTCCGTTCCTTCCTTTCCTTTCCTTTTCGTTCCAATCCTTTCTGTAAGGGGGTTATGTTTTAATCATTGTCAGTGGCTGTTATTTTGCCTGTTCAGTTCCAGTCAGTTCATCAGCTTATGCTCAAAAGAAGACTTAAAGTGATACAATAGTTTATGCCCATGGATATTTATGTACATAAATCATTCACTTGTTTTGGATATAAATTATATGAATATATTCTTCACAGTGCAGAATATGAAATAGTGAAAAAAATTGTTTAAAAACATGAAATGAGGAGACTGTGAAAGGGCTTTCATAGGTAGTCCAGTCCCTGCTCTGCTCCCGTGCACTAATTATAGCCCTTCCGTTTAAGAAAGAAAGAGAGAGAAAGTAAGAAAGAGAGAAAGGAGAGGCAGAGAGGCAGAGAAAGAGAGAGAGAGAGAGAGAGAGAGAGAGAGAGAGAGAGAGAGAGAGAGAGAGAGAGAAAGAAAGAAAGAAAGAAAGAAAGAAAGAAAGAAAGAAAGAAAGAAAGAAAGAAAGAAAGAAAGAAAGAAAGAAAGAAAGAAAGAAAGAAAGAAAGAAAAGAAAGAAGCATATAAGCATATAAAAATCTTAGTTTAGGTATAATTTGATACTTTTTATGGTGCAGGTGAGACATCTAGTGTCTATTTCATGTTATTAAAATACAAAGACCTCTTCCAAATCCTTTAAATGTCCTGTTAGTGACTTATACATCTTTACATCTGCTTCACAAATCCACTGACAAAATAATTTTGCCAGTTCTGTGCAACTAGTAATGCATGGTCTTGAAAACAAGGATCAAACGTCAGTGGCTTCTGTGTGTACAGAATCTTTTTTCTCCTTTCCCAGATATCTTCACAGGCCTTAGACTCGTCAATAAATAAATCCAGAAGAATGCTAGTAAAGCCAATCTAGGTTTACAACGTTGACACTAAGAGCACATTTTAGTGCCTAAGTACCAATCCAAATCTCTTCCTCCTGCTGTTCTTCTCATGTAAAGAATCTGCCTTGGAACATCTTGTCTGTGAAGTCAGGCAACAAGTGTTATCTTCAATTGAATCTTTCTTGCCAGAAACCACCTCTCTGCAGTGGAAGACTGTCCTGAAACACAAACATGAATTAGGCTGTTGTGATGGGCCAGAGCTACAAAAGATGCCCTTTGCAAAAGAGTTCCCCATTCCCTACAGGCTGTTCAAGCACAGCACAAGGTCAAACGCAAACTCATCTTCAACCCTGCTATTTCATGACCCAAATCTCACAACTGTCCTAGGCAGTGATGTGCTGTTGCATAGCCTGAGCAAGAGCAGATGCTACATTCTTGCTGTGAGTGTCAAGCAGAATTTGTGGGTTGTGCAGTGCCTGCATCCAGACAAGGAGCATGGCAGCACAGCAATGTCTGTGCATGGCATAGGTGAGTTGTTAGTGTGGTACATGCTGGAGAAGCCTCTGGATTACAAGTCACAGAGTGTAAACAGTTACACCAACTAATGCACAACGTCAGTACATCCAGGCCTATCCAGAGCAGCACTCCTGAATAGTGTAGAAGTGCCTGTAGAGCTGTGAACTATCTGGAAGCTTAGCCCAGAGGTGATGAATCTTTCTCTCACACAGCTGATAAAGACTTTATAAATTTAACTTTATGTTACCCTGGCTGTAAATAGCAACATGTGCTTAATGTACACATGTATTGAATAGTTTCTTAAAGATCCTTCAAACAAAAAGTAGCGGTATTGCTTCACAATTTTCTTCTAGCCTAGCACAGATGTGTCTCATTTAGGGATGTTCAAGTTACTTCTTCTTTTTTTTTTTTTTCGTTGAAAAGGATATTTTTCTGATTCCCTTCCCTCCCCTCCCCTCCCCTCCCCTCCCCTCCCTCCCTCCCCTCCCCTCCCCTCCCCTCCCTCCCCTCCTCCTGGGAAATCTCTATGGTTATTGCTTTTTCCAGTTTCAACATGGCAGTTTTCAGTTAGTCTTCTAGTATGGCTGTGTAGTCTTACTTTCATGGCTGGTCCCAAGAGGGCAAAATAGTGAACTTCTTGACTTTCCACCATGATATCTCCCTTGACTTCATCTTGAACAAACACCTCTACTAAAGTGAGAAAACAAAGCAGTATGCCACCAGTCTTTAATGCAAATGTTTGGTGACCAACAGGGAGAACATTCACAGGTCAGACTCAGTCAGGATTTAATTCTGAGTTTAATGATGCCTCTGGGTTATAAATATTAGCAGGTAATCTAGATCTGGTTGAAGAACAGAAATTTCTCTGGGAGAAGAATTAAAAAAAAAAAGGCAACATACTAAGTTACAGTAAAAACAAACAAACAAACAAAAACAAAAACAAAACAAAACACAAATTTATCTGTGGAGGTAAATCTGAAGAAAAAAGTAGTTGGCCTAACAAGAGCACTTTGTTTCAAATCCAACTTCAAAAATTATTTTTTTTCATTATGGAATAAGGAAGAAAAAATCAATATACAACCCTCCCCTCTCCCCTCCCCCAATTCAAGAGTATTGAAATGAGATATTTTAGTGATGTTTCATACTTCCCCTATTCCTACCCTCATCATTGCTTTCTGATTTCAACCCTAAATTAACAAATTTTAGGGGGAGGTGATCTGACAGTCACAAACTGTTTTTGTTGTTGTTGTTGTTGCTGAAAAATATTTTAGTGTCCAGTTGCTTTGAACAGGATACGATCATACTCCTTTTTGGTAGGTCATGTTCCAGATGAAAACTATCAGTGTGCAAGGTGTGCATTTACTTTTTTTTACTTTTTTTTTAAAAAAAAAAAAAAGAAAATAAAAAAGTATCTAGTTTCCTTCCGTTTTACAGACATCTGAACATTTCTTTTGACCTAACGTGGTGTGATAGGTGGGAGGAGGCCAGAAAGGATGTCATACAGGGTACTTACTCCTTCAATGAGTCCATTTTGATTGCAGATCTGAAGACGTTTCTTCAAAATGGCAAGTGAGGTGATTTATGCAGAGGTATCATCTGAGGAAAGAATGCGTTTTACTTCACAAAATTCAGACGCAGGTAACAAATGGTCATCTTAATATTATTTACTTTTTCTTTGTTCAGTGACACATTCTTAAATCTTTCATTTTTCTTTGAATGGAAACATTTGTAAGAAACTGAAGTCTTGTTAAAAGCATTTTTAAGAATATTAGTATCTATCTGTCTATTACATATCCATTCACTTGGAAACTTTTTTCTCATTAGTAGAAGAAAAGTTGAATTCTAGCAAAAGTAAAGACTGACCTCTAAAATCCCACTCTGGATTTCAATAGAATAGCTAAAAAGTGCTGTTTCTGAAATGCATTAACAATTAGAAATTCAAGATATTAATAGAAGTTATTGAAAACTCATTGGCAGTTACAGTGCAGTGATGACACTGACATTTTCTCTCCCGCAGTATATTTACATTTTATATTTTACATTGATTAATTTTGTTAGACACCAGAAATAATTTTAAATTGTAAAACAATAGGTCTTTCTTCCTCATTTTTGTTTCATTCTTTCTTTCTCTCTGTCTCTGTCTTTCTCTTCTGCAAGTTAGATGTTGAGAAAAACAGAAGTCAATAATCAATAGAAGTTTCTATAATTTTCAAAATTTAGTCATGTGTATGACCTATTGATGTCTGCTACTATAAAACTACATTACTTTAAAAATATATTTACAAGAAATAAAGTGCCAAAGATATCCATTAATGGACATAGCTCATGTTTTTAAAACAAAAATATCAAGCTTTGTTGTTGTTGTTGTTAATTTCTGATCAAAAAACAGATCTTTGCTGGTTAAAAGATAGTTAAGTATGGACACATTATTTAATATTATATTTAGAGATCATAGTACGAAAGGCAAATGTATACTGAATAAGCTAGCAAAGCAACTTCTATCCTATAAAAATAAGTTTTGTAGATTCACTTCTTGGTACACGGTTCTAAAAGCATCTGTATCAGTGTAACATCTTCATCTTTCATATGTTAACTCAGTTTGTCTCAGACTATATGGTCACAACCAGTTCACTGCAAAAGAGCTGAACTGCCAGGATAATTCCCAGTGCAGAATTACCCTATAAGTACTTATTGGAGATGTACTCACATATCCAGTACAACTATCTATACAAAACGTGTCAAAAATTGAGAGCATAAAAGTCTGTTACATCTTTTTTTTGTTTGTTTCATCATCTAATATTATCCTTTAAAATTCGTTATATTTTAGTTTTTATTATTGTTGTAATTTTACTGCTTTCACACAGTTTTTAATATACTTCAGAAAATATACTTTAAAATTGCTCTTTTATATATATCCTGAGAACCCTATAATGCAATAAAATAATTCTGAAATTTGCCAGTATTAGGTTATTGGACAGGCAGAACCTATTTTTTTTTTACCTAAAAGAAAAAAAAAAAAAAGCCAATTATGAGACCAACTAAGTAATCAAATTTCAGGCAAAATGTTTTTGCCTACCCTTTAGAGTATGATGGCATGACATTTACCCTTTCATAATATTTTTGAAAAATCTTGCTGTTGTAACACCAATATCCTTGTTGCTTATGTGAATGTTGCATCCCTTTTGGTCTCCTAATAAATTATTTACTTTAATAACTTCCTAAAACAATTACTTCTACAGGCTGATTCTAATATCTTACCTTAAGAAATACTTTAAATCAGTCTTGAATTTGCCTCCTATTGTTAGTGTGTCCTAGTGCGACAAAGTGAAAAAAACCATCCAATCTGTTTAACTAAGATTTTTCTTTCGTGTTATAATGGGAATGTACATAACATACACACCCATTACACATTCTTCCCATTTTCCATCTATACATGTGCTCAATTGCTTTCACCAATTAGAACACCAGTGCAGGAAACTGTGGTCCTCATTTTGCCAGGTGCTGTGAGCTGTTCTGATTCTTTGTCTTTTGTGTGAGAAAGACGGTGAATTTAATACGAGAGGTATTTGATAATGCTTGGTACTAACATGCTTTAGATTCAATATTTTTCATAAGCCTAAGGCAGATCTGGCACACTGAGGAGGTTGTTTTTCTTTAGTCAAAAGTTTGGTATTTGCCATGCTACAGTGAGTTCAGAGCAGTTGAGTTCACTCTCAGCCACCTGCCTGACAATGTGCAAAGGAAGCAGCTGCTGTCCTACTCCATGCATATTTTACTTTAGATCATTAATACATCAAGACCTGGAAAAGGCCAAAGTTGTTCCTCCAAGACTGGAATGATAGTTTAGACCTGCAAAGAAAAGGGGTTTCATACTGCCCTGCCTCTGAGCATTTTTTGACTTACATACTTCACAGTTCATGCTGTCTTATCTGATTACAGAACTGTAAGTCCGGCCTACTTTCCTGTGGCCACTATGCACGTCTCCTGTGAGTCTGCACCCTTCTTCTCCTCTCCCTCCCCTCAGCCCCTTCATCACCTGCACTGCTGCCTTGAGTTTTTGCATGTGCTGGCAAGTGTTTTTAATCTTCACTTTGCTGGACTCGTCCTACATTTTGTCCTGCTTACATTTGAATTTGATCTTTTTCCCCATGGCACTTCAATGAAAAATCTGTTTGATTTCTCTCTTGAGAAAAAGATAAATAGATAAATTTCAGCAAGCATTGGACTTACAGAGCTCATGGGAAATAAGGCAAAAGATGCAAAGCAGGCAATCTACAAGGTGGTGTGTTGAAACAAACAAACAAAACAAAACAAAACAAAACAAAAAGAACAACAACAAAAAGCTCCTTCCTTCCTTCCTTCCTTCCTTCCTTCCTTCCTTCCTTCCTTCCTTCCTTCCTTCCTTCCTTCCTTCCTTCCTTCCTTCCTTCCTTCCTTCCTTCCTTCCTTCCTTCCTTCCTTCCTTCCTTCCTTCCTTCCTTCCTTCCTTCCACTGCCCCATCTACAGAAAACTGCTGGGGTCTACCAAGCATGTCCCACCACCCTCCATTTTCCCTCTCCCTCTTACTCTGATTTTACGGTCTTGCTTATTTGGGACAATGGGCCTGTGGAGACTTTGGGCAGTGAGATGTCTTCTGGGTGTTTCTCTAACAGCACTGTGAATATGATGCAGCTAGAGGACATGGCAGAAGTAGACATCAAGACTGCCTTGAGCAATGTCTAGCACCTGTCTCTGAATTTCTAATTGCTGAAGGATGCTCTGCTTTTACAGTGATAGTGGAAAAGATCTCTTCTGTTATGCAGATGCCAGCTTAAGCATCCATAGATAATTACAGTCAAGTGTAGATAAAGCATCCAAAGATAAGAAGAGCAATGATTTTTCTCTTGGTATTAAGGCACAGCAATCTGAGAAAATGACCTTCTTTCTTAGGAAAATGAATGTCTGCTGTTGAAAATCATGCCAAGTCCTTTTCCAGCCCAACTTGCATAATTGTTAGCAAATTTACCCAGGTTATCAAACATTCTTGATAATACAGCAGATGGGTATTTTTCACTGTTGAGGCTGAGAGGCCATAAATGAAAGAAGGGACTGTGCAGTTTGTCAGACAATCCCATGCCTTTGGATAAACCCACCCTGACAACATTTTATTAGTCCCATGGGTCTTAAAAATCTTGAAACACATTTTTTTAATTTTTGCTACCATGAGTGTCACAATCGTGCTAGTGGTTACCAGAGCAACTGAGGGTTTGCTACTGACTCACCACCAGATACAGAACAGGAAGACTTCCCTCCACCATGTCGTTTTTGAAAACCTAGCGTCACACAGTGCCATAGCAAATGCTGGAGTATTTACCACAGGATCCATGCATAACAAGAGGCAATCCTTCTGTGTATGGAAAAGATGTCTCTCAATAACAGAAAAGCCATGGCTTATTTTGCTCAAATGTTCTCTGTCTCGAGGCAGTTCTTTCGGTGCAGCCAATACCTCCAAGCAGTCTGGAGATGCTAAGTGGTTTTCAGAAGGAATGGGTGCATGCTCTGAGGCACAAGGACAAGAAAGACTTCTTCTTGATATGCAAACACAATCTGATCAAGTGGAAGGATGGAGGAGTTTTTTTACAAAATAATTCCTAAGAATAGATTTCTTAGAACAAGGATAGTCTGGGAAGTTCTTTATCTGATGATCAGCTGAGCAGATTAAAAAAAAATCATGGAGGAAAATCAGTTGTTCCCTGTGGTTTCTAAACTTCACTACAACAAATAAGACAAACATTCACAATGATAGAAAGACCTGTTCAATTGCCTTTGTTTGTGGAATGGTGACTTCTAAGCCAAGAGGAAGGGATGTCTCAACTAAGTGGAAACTGCCTGCAAAGTGAGTGGCCATGCCAGTTCTGCAGCAATTATGGAAAGCTTCCCTTGTAAGTAACTATTAGTCAAGAAAAGCAAATGCCAAGGGCACCTATGTAAGAGAAGAGAGGGCCTCCTCTCTTCTCAAGTGAGAATAGTGAGAATAAATTAGCAAAGTAATAAAGATTCAGATAAGTCTATTGTTAATTCTTCTTCCTCAGGTTTCTGTCTGCTGTGACTAAGAAAGAGAGAAAGAGAGAAAGAAAGAGAGAAAGAGAGAAAGAGAGAGAGAAAGAGAGAAAGAGAGAAAGAGAGAGAGAGAGAGAGAAAGAAAGAAAGGAAGGAAGGAAGGAAGGAAGGAAGGAAGGAAGGAAGGAAGGAAGGAAGGAAGGAAGGAAGGAAAAGAAAAGAAAGTTAGTTGCTTTTGGACTATTCTGGATGAGAATTAACTGCAGCCAGGCTTCCCTTTCATGTTTTTGAAGAAAAAGTTGAATTCATGGTTTGTACTGAAAAATCTGTGCTCTGTCTGCCATGGTGCCTACCAGCAATTAATTAAAACCTCATTTAAATACTTGAAAGAATTAACCTGAGGAAGAAAAATCTGTGGATGAAAAAAAATAGTATAAAATAATAAGCTTATATTTTACATGATGAATTGTTAGAAATTATGTTTAATCCATAAGGGACTGTAAAATAGCTTGTCTCTATGCACATGCAGTACAGCACAGCTTTGTTTCCCTAGGAACTGTGCTTCTCTGTGTGAAAGAAGAAGCTGTAGAGAACGGGCATGCTTCATATCCATGTGCAAGATCTGAATTCACCAGGAAGAAGAAGTTTATTGAGAAATACAGAAAAGAATAATAATTTAGCCAAAAGGCAAACAAACAAAACCAAACAAACTTGCCTTTGATTAGTTTTTACTTAAAGACTGTCAGAAAGTATACATGTGTGGATAGCATATGGAATAAAAAGAAAAAAAAAAAAAAGAATTAATAATAGAGTACTTCAGCATGTGGTAACAGCTACTTCAGTTCCTTTTTAATTTTTCTGAAATTTAATAACTGAATAACATCTAGATTTTTTGGAAAACTGTACAACAGGACAATAAATTGCAATAGTTCTTCTGTTACTTTCTTTTTCACAAATTCATTCAGTGACACACACAAAAAGAATGAAAATAACCTCTAGTGTGTGCTTTTGCTCTTACCATTTTCTCCATGCAGGTCTAATGCCTGGGTGCTGGATCCAATGAGAACTGTGAGATCTGGCCTCAGGCAGTTCCCCTAAGTGCAGCACTTTTTTTTTTTTTTTTTGTATTTGCAGGTGATCAGATCACCTATGCTGAGGTGAAAGTGAAACGGAAATCTGACAACACCAACAGTACATCCAAGTCTACACATACAAGTATGGCAATACAGCAGGAAATTTAAATCTTTCTCATTAAATGGTATCCTCTTTGTATACTCTTTATTATTAATTATGTATTACAGGTAATGGAAGAGATACTTGGTGCTAGGTTTCCAGAGAGGTAGGTATGACTTAGGCAAATTTAAAAACTGTCAAAGATTTTCCCTGTTGCTGGTTACCACTGCCTGGAGGCTGCCTGTGAGTGTTTACAAAGTTAGCACGTGCAGCCACGGATTCCCATCCCAGGTTTTGTTTGGGCTAAGCTTCTTGTCACTCTGCCACAGCTAAGTCTATAAGGATTTATGGCACCCCTAACCCTTGCATTAGGGTGCCTCTGCGACTCAGTCCAGCAAATCTTTTTCTTGTATCAGTGCTTTACTGGGTGGATCACACCAGGGAGCAAGTGGTGGTCTGAGGGCATGGTAGTACAGACATATGTGTGTCCCTGCTGCTCACTGCAAGCAGCTGTGGAGCACACTGGCTGCATCTGCACAGCAGAATGCCTGGCCTCCTCTCTCCCTTAGGCCCCATGAGATCTTTTTTGTTGTGATGTTGGTGGATATGCCTGAATTTAAAAGTCTGTACTGCACATTGCCAAAGTATGTTGGTTTTGTTTTGTTTTGTTTTTCTGTTCTTTTTTTTTTTTTTTTTTCCTGTGGTTAGGTGTATTTTGTTTTTTTTTTTTATTTTTCAGGGGGAGGGGGGGAGCCTCTTGATTTTGTTGCTGTTGTTGTTTGTTGGGTTAGGTTGTTTTTTGTTTGTTTGTTTTACTGTAGGGCTCAGAACACATTTCAGCACGTTGCTGGGAACATAATGAAGGTTCTCACATAGACCATAACATCCGCTGGGGATTCTGCTAGAGATCAGTTCTGGGGAGAGGAAGTAAAGTTTGGCACTGTCCATGTCTGCACCATTGAATGTTCTGTGAAATATGCCCAGGTTTCTTCCAAGAAGGAAACAGTTTTTTTCATCCTAGGAGGATCCCAGAAGGAAATGTATATGTACCTTGCAGGCAAGGTGACCCACTGGAGGACGAGTATCTGATGCAGAATGGCTAGCAGAATAATTGCCTTCCCGTGCCTCTAGCAAGTAGATACACAAATAACATAGCAACTCCCCACCCTATCAGCAGACAAATAGCCCGCTTTTCCAGGGTATGGGACAGTATTACTTTCCATCTTTTCTGCAGATGATTTTAATCCTGAGGGGTTGCTCAGAACATGTGGTTAAAATTATTTTGCAATGGCAAGCTCTATGTTCTTATTAGCAACAATTTCTGTGTATGTTTTTTCATTTCCAAATGCATTTAGAGAGAATAAACAAGTCAGCAATATCATTTAAATTGGAGAAATTGAGTTATTTTTAGAAAGTGATAGCTAATTAGATCTTGAACAGTTATTTAATATGTTCAGATAACTTGTGTCTGATCTTTTCTGAAGTGAAAATTTTATGATACATTAAAATACTTTTTTTCAAGCAGTGTGACCAGCCCTAAAACAAAATTTGGCTTTGCAAAGCAAAATAATATAGGAGTTTTAAGTCACATGTATTTGTATGCGGTTTAAATAAATAAGAGAAGGAAAGAAAATATTGCATTCATGCAATGCAGAAGAACATTAAGATATTTATAGAAAAAATGTTAGCTGCAGAAAATGCTAAGTGAGAACAAATGTTTCCATTGCTGGTTTAATTTTGCCTTACCGCAGGGAAAAAGAAACTGACAGTTTTAGAAGGTGTTTCTGATTAACGGTTCCAGTCAGGCAGAAAAGAGAGTGGACCAAATGCAGATTCAGTCCTGCTGATACAAAGGCAAAACCAATTTACTGGCTTACTTTAAATTCCCTCTGATTTTTTTTTTTTTAATATTTATTTATTTATTTATTTGGTCACAGAAATTGGGATTGGATTGCAGCATTAAAAGTATTGTAAGTGATGCAGTGTATGGTTTTGATACATCATCATCTTCTGTTTGCTGACTGCCAGTCCTCGCTTTTTTTCTCCCCTTCTCTGATTCTGCCTAGTTTACCCATACTCCCAAGTTTGTACAATTTGGTTCTAGAACTATCAAAATCCAGGCAAAATGCTGTAGGTGACCTCTGTGCCTTCACATTTTTCACTGAAACCTCTTTAAAAGTCACAGAAATCAGGTGTTTCTTCTAATTCTCATTATTATTATTATTATTATTATTATTATTATTATTATTATTATTATTATTATTATTATTATTATAATACAGATTGGTCTGGGAAGAGGGAAGGGATAAGAAATGGAAGAACACAGGCACAGAGATCCTGGACAGGGTTACAGTGGTAGCAGAAAATAATGGATGGCAGGGATTTAACAACTAATTAAACATGTATTTCTTTGTAGTGCTTAAAAAGGATTATAAGAGCCTACCTGGAAAAAGCAGCCTGCAAATTTCCAAATTACCTGTGAAAACTTTTTCCAAAAGCTGCAATGGAATGTCATGATTTCCTTCTGGGTCTTCAGTTGTGTAACCTCAGAATAATAACCCCATGCTAATACTAACATTATGAGTCATTCTCCCAGGGAAACTCCGGGACAGAACATCCGGATATACTGCAGAGCAAGAAGCACTGTCAGAGCTGTGCAACAGCAGCAGATAAACTGCATGGCAAGGCAAGCAGTGCTGGCAAAGCTGTGCATGGTTTCAGAAAGTGAGACGTCACATTTTCAGGCATCTTCTTAAGAGCTATCATGATCAAAACTAGAACTGACCAGGTTCTTCTGACACTGAAAATGTGAATTCATATATAAACATACACAAAGAAGGCTTTATTTTCACTTAATAACTAAAATTACAACTAAAACCAATAATAACATTTTCTAGAACAAGAATTAGCTAATACAAATATATTTACCTGGAAAACAACAAACAAACAAACGAACAAAACAACAATGACAACAACAACACTTTCAATTGCATGTATTGCATCTGCAGCACAGACTGATGGTATGCTCCAACATTTCCTGTTGGAGGCTTAGCCAAAGTGATTTTGTATGCTAGCTAACTGACTTATTTTTTTCTTTCTGGGAAAAAAACTTAACTTGAAACAAAACTTCAGTTGCTTCTGGCTGTTGTGAGATCCTTCTTTCTTTTCCCTTCAGCAGTGGACTGCCATGAGAGCAAACACTGGTGTTACATTGCCATCATCCTGTACTTTGTTGCAGTGATTCTGCTCATCTGTGTGATCCTTTTAGCTGTGAAATGTAATAATCCCTGAGGCAGATGGTGCAGTCCAGTTGACAAACAGAGTAAGACATTTTTATCCTTATTTGTATTTTCATACAATATGTTCACATTTATCAGAAGAGGTGCAAGGAAGCATTCTACCCATATGATAAAGTCTCTGCCACACATTCAGCCAGCCATCAATTCACAATCACACTAGATAAAATCTAGCTTCTTGCTGCTGATGCACAGTGCACTTAACTGGGCATATTTTAATACCCAAGAGCTCTGGAGGGAAATAACCCCACCAGCAGGCCACGAAGTGGAAAAAAATTTAAAAATAATAATATAAAAAAAAGAAAACATGGCTGGTGCAGCTAGAGGCGATTGCCACAACTACTGTCCAGGTGGACATTAATAGGGATCTAGTGAAGCGGCGTGAGACAAACAAGCCGTGTTTATCAGTCTGGGGTTTGAAAGAAGACAGAAGAACACTCGTCCAATTCAGACTAGGAATGGCAGGGAACAGCCCTCCAGAGAAAATCCTCCCATTCATATCCAGTGCCCCTAGAGCCCTCTGTGGGCAGCTTTGAAAAGGCAATGCCTCCTCTGGGACAGGGTGGCTGACGTGGTACACGTGAAGGGAAAGGTACAAATATTGTAAGCATCTGTGCCTGTCTCATGTTAGAGCTTTTGGGGGATCTTTTGGGAAATCTTTTAGTAAAAGTACACTGCATGGAAAACAGACTCCGTATTAAGACACAGATTCATTTCTTGTAGAGCTATGAAGTGTTCAATCGCTCCTCCAGATCACTCCCCTTGGCAGTTGTCACCATCTCAGAAGCTAAGCCAGCAGCAGTGTCCCTGTCACTGAGCAATGATCCCCTCACTGTGTCTGCCTAGTCCTACCACACCTCCATCCCAAGGCATGGCACATTTATCCATCATCCCCATGATGCCCAGGTGCCCTCCCTTTACTCATGAGGACACTCACAGCAGGTTGAACTTCACTAAGATATTCTATTGTCTTTTTATTTCCAGGTAAGTCAGAACAGGAAGGCTCTGCTTCTTCAACAAAACAAGACATGAAGTTTGTTTATTTTTACATTACCTTCTCTGAACAGACTTCTATGAAAGAAGACATGCTGCCAGACTGATCACTCTTCAGTTACTTCTTCCGTGATTTTCATTAAATGCCTCCATATGTGGACAAAATATATTATATATTATTAATATAATAATGCCAGCAAGCCTCTCATTATATCAGTGCATGTAACAAGGCACAGGCTCAAGCTGCTGCATCAAATGTTGGATCTGGGTCTTCTATAGACAACGCAAATGACCAGGTAGACCCATTTGGAACATCACTTCTATTTCACACCTGACTTGATTTCGCCATAATTTGCATGTTGATAAGCTTTTAGATTTCTATATGCTGAAGTGCAAAAATGCATGGATAAAACAAGGAATGCGAACAGTTGCACTAAACTTTTTTTTTTTTTTTTTTCTAAGTCTAGACCTACATGTAATTTTTCTTCCTCTGAAAGCCTTCTGGTGGGATTTATTAAAGGTGCAAGGAACTTAAATGTTTAACAGAGAAGTCTCAGCCTCATTCCCCTACTGGCTTGAGTAAAATTATTCTGTTCTGCTTGTCCAGAGGAGTATCTCATTGATTTACAATATGTTATTTCTGTCTTGGAGCAGCAGTTCATTTTTGTTTTGTTTTGATTTTTTTTCCCCAAATGCTGTAGCTTCAGTTAAAGCAGAACCCTCCAATGGAACTAAACCACTTCAGGTTTAAATGTTTGTTTGTAATTATTATTTAGATGTCTGTTTTTACATTATTTTGAATTTTCATTGGTTATAATTCCTCTGAACAGGCTGATAGTAATGATTTGAAATCCCTGAGTAGGAGGGACTATATAGTGTATCAAATACTTGTAAATTGTTCCCTGTGTCTAAGCTTATCTGTACTGAGGCCATGTTGTTGCTGTTGATAAGGCACCACATTTTTATAATATATTTACCAGAAATCAATAAAGATTTAGTAAAGCACTTGGCATGCCAGCATTTGTTCTTATGTTAGTCATACATTTATTAATGGTATGATTATAACACTTCTGAGCTGTTGTCAGGAAGCGGGGTGCTGATCTAATAAGTACTTTCTAAAGACAGAAGTAGAGCATCAAGTGAATAGTAGAAGAAAATGGTTATGTTTTTCTTGAGATCATTTTGCTTGCCAGGCTGTGGGATAAAACCAGGTCTTTAAATACTAGTGGAGGAAGAAAACTTTAAAAAACAGAGATAATAAAAGAAGAGGTGGCAGGAGACATTTGGACCTGAAATGGAACTGCATTTTGTTGTCCTTCACTAGACTGATCTGATTTTAGCCTGAAGGTTCACATAAGACTATCAAATAAACCCTGCGACCAAATTAAATTGTCAACCTAAATAAATTAGCTCCAGCTTTCTTTAGAAGCAAGAAAAATTCCAGTCTTTGAAGCTAAAGTAATGTAGTTTTGCATATATAAAACTTGTTCAATAATTGCAGATACACAGCAGCAGGAGTCATAGTTCCTGGCAATACAAGCTCTACCACGGAGAAGGTCATCATTTCAGAATGAGCCAGCTTCACAAGGAACTAAGCGCACATCCACCCAGATGCTGCATATGCAAACAGAGCAAAGGGAAATGCACTTCAGAACCAATTAGAAACTGTCACCGATTATAAGACCAACAGGGACTCATTCAGATAACCAGGTCTTCAGCCGCTACAAGCAGATCTCTGGGAATGTAAGTGGCAAGTCCTACCATCCGGAAGGTAACCGCATATACAGCATAGACAACTGAGTAAGAAGCATGCATGTACTGCTCTGTATGCTGCTTGGTAGCCGAAGGAGGGAAGTTACTTTGATTAAAATGAGAAGTTGTTAACTTCTAAAAATTGAAGTGACTGTTTTGGCTGTTTACTAAGAATTTGGCACACTTTGCGTTTTTGTGGGTTTGACAATGAGCCCACTATAGTGTTCAAGGCAATTTTAAGAAACTTTAGCCTGATTTTCACTCTCACAAGGCAGAGTCTATAATTGTGTTCACTGAATTTGGGGGAGTTTCTCAATGTTTACGGTCTATTTAATGTTTTTGAAATGTTGACATGAAGTGTGCTCCTGCTGATGGCTCTTGGCAGACAGAAATATACAGATGATGGTTGGGCAGGTGTGTAGCAGGTTCTTGCGGTTCCGTGATGAGCTCTAGTTACTTATTACCTGTTGGAGCCATGCCAGCTGATCACTCTTCTGAGCCTCATCTGCCTGGTTGCTCTCAGGGACAGCTTGCAATGGTTTCTCATCCTTACAATACTAAGGGTATGTATATGGGTGAGAAAGGAAGTACCCTTCTCCTTGCATTTGTTTCATGCTCACACACACCAGCTCTCAAACATGAAGGCAAAATCCTTGTTAGATACAACTTGAGGGGGAAATGGACTATCTGTCACTGAACTGTTAAAACAAGGCTGCCTAGTCATTGATTATGTATATAATATTACATGCCTTATGCATGACATCTAAAAATTACATCTGACTGTAAATCTGGCTCAAGGGAGCTGTCTTTCTCCTTTGTTTTTGGTCCCTTTCCTTTTCCTTGGAGCTTATGTGATTCCTTTTATTGCATTCTCTCTCCCTCTGGCTTCAGGCACATCCTGGAGCTACGAGTGACATTCATTCCTGCTGTTCTGGCTTGGCCTATTTTTCTGGCTTTTCACCCATTCAAGTCAACCCTTGCTGATAAGCACCACCCCTTTTGTTCATGGACACAATAATGCATATGTGAAGACTGAAGGAGATAATTAAAAGAATGCAAACAAGTCACTAAAAGGATGTCCTTGATAAACCATCACAGAACAAACATTTTAGGATATCCTTGAAGGCAAATATAATAAACGTTAGAAGACCAACTAAAATCCTAATATAGGGCTAATTTCAAACCTTTTTCTTTGGAAATTCAACACTCTCTTTGTAAAAGCTGAAGGGTGGGAACAGAAGGGACAGGAGTTCATCAGAAGAGAGAGGTACTACAGTTCATCTTTTCAACCCTGTACATCTTTTTCCCTAGACAGCCAAATTATGAGCTAGCAGAATATTCAGGCTTTACCTAGCAATTCTTTTCAATACATCAGTTCCTGAGAGGAACTGTAACAGTATGTCTCTGGAAAGCAACAGAATGCTAGCAGGCATAATAACTGGCATCAAGTCAACAATGTGAGACATGAGAATTTAATTAGAAAAAAACGCTTTACCTGCCTGTGTAGGAAATCATCCCAAAACAGTGTCATCTCTACAG